ATTTTTTTTTTAACCTGCACCGTGTTATTTTTACCCTTTTAGCCTTTTTTTTTTTCCCTTACCCGAAAATCCCGAGCTCCTTCGAGTTTGTTAAGGGGGGGAGGGAAAAAAAGGGGGAAAARGGGGGAGGGAGGGGAAAAGAGGAAAAAAAACCCCACGCATAAAAAAATAAGAATGATAGGGTGGAAGTTGGGGGAAAGAAGAGGGGACCCCCCTTCGGAACGGGGGGGCTGGAAGGAGTTCAAACGGGAACACGCGAAGGAGTTAATGGGATTAAGCGGCGAATGAGGGGTTTGGGGATTGTTTTTCGGTTCGCTTTGCTTTTTTTCCTCTTCCCTGCGGAGTCGGGGGGGAGAAGAGGGAGGGGATCCCCGCTGGGCACGCGTGGGGCGGGGGGCGCGTCCCTCCGTGCCCAAATCCTGCCCTCGCAAATCCCCGTCCCTCTGGCTGGAAAAGCACATCCCCAGCTCCCAAAATGCTGGAAGAAAACCCAGAGCCATGCACGGAGCTGCCTCCCCCTTCCCCGCGGGTTTGGGATTGGGATCCGCGGCCGCATCCCTGATTTTGACTCGCACCTAAAGCCTGAATCTTTAGGAATTCCTTGATTTCTGGGGGGTAGCTCCCGCCTCGCTCACCTGCCTTTCCTAGAGAAAAAAAAAACAAAAAAAACTAAAAGACTTTCAAATCCAAGCAGGCTGAGGTGATTTTGGTGACGTTTCCCACGCAATTAAAATTTCCCCGGCGGCTGCAGGAATGAGCTCGAGAGAGCCTCTGCGAGCCCGAGTTTTGCTTTGGGTGAAATCCCTGGGTTTATCGGCGGCTGGAAAACAACCGTGGTACCCACCGGGAGGACGGACACCATCCCCTGTGCCCCACGGAAATGTTGAGAGATGCCCAAAGGGGCCCAGCCAGAGGGATGCTCGGYGCATTCCCACCTGGAATGAGCTCAAGCTCATCCCAGTTTTCCTCCACGTCTYCCTTTTTGCACTTTTTTTCCGCTCCAAACAGCCGCGTCCCCTCCCTGCCTTGATTTGGGGGTTTATTCATCCCTCGCTCCGCACCCAGGGAACAGTCACACCCCACAAAGCCTCCCCATACCCGCTGCTGCTCTCCTGGCACGGTTTTTGGGGACAAAACCTGCCAGAAAGCCACCTGCTGTTCAGCGATGCCTCCTCGGGAGGACACAGCAGCGTTTTGGTGCCACATTTCGAGCTGAGGCCACGCGGGACCGGGACTGCAGCGTCCCCACGGMCCAGCCAGGGGGGAAAGGTGCTCCCCTAACCAAGCCTGACCCTCTGGAGCAGCGATTTCCACCAYCTTTTTAGGTTTAGACCCCCTGGGAAAGGCTGTGGAGGTCCCTCCGTGGGGCTCCCCTCACGCCTGTTCCACTTCCCAGGCATAATCACGCTCCGGCTGCTCCTGCCACAATCAGGGAGCGCCGAGGGGGTTTTTTTGGGGGGTTG